GCCAAACCCTTCTATACAGGGACCTCAGAGTAGAGGAGAGAAAGCAGTGGATTGAAATCTTATGAAACATATCTTCTGTATGACAGACAGAAGGCTAAATCTCTCTCTCTCTCTCTCTCTCTCTCTCTCTCTCTGTAGTAGATATTCTGTTTATCTATTTCATATTTCATATGCACATAACTTAGAATATATAGACATCTGTAACATGCAAACCTCTTGCTTGAAAATGCCCAAGACACTGAGAATACCATTAAATCTCAATCTTGCTTCAGACATATTTTTCAAATGAATATGTCATTTCAGATGGTATTAGGCAGTACATGAAATCACGATGCCACTGTTAGAACGTTCAAGTACCTTCCCAGAGTCGAATTGCATGATGTTTCCTTTTAACTTGGTTTAATATTATAATCCTTATTCAGAAATGAGCTTTTGTGAAAAAATCAATAATTACCTTTGTCACTATTTATTTAATGAATCCATGGAAAGACTTCATTAAATTATAAATGGCTCATTACTGATATTCTCATAATAGATTTGTGAAATGACGGTGGGAGCCAGTTATTCATTTCAAGGAAGATACAATACAGGGAGATCAGTACATGTCCAGTGAAATGACTGCTGGTTTTGCTAATGCAATATTCATGAGAATTTGCCGAGACAATCACATTTAATCCCAGAGAATAAGAATGTGAAATGAATTCTTTTAAATTGTAATTATCTATTGGCAAGAAAGTTTAGCAAGTTTTATTGTTTATATAATTGAAATGGCTTGGTATTCTGTCAATATGGGAGGGTTGTGTTTTGAGGATATTCACTGTGTCTGAATGATATGGTAAAACCTAGTCCTATAAATATGCTTGATAGGAATATTTTGTACTTTATTTACATTTAAATTTTTTTTTTCTGGGAGCAGGGGGTGATCCTTTGACTATCACTTATATTTAAATTGTGTGTGTGTGTTTTTTAAGGCCTTGATGTAACTTAGTGTGGGGTAGATAGAGTAAAAGTGGGAGGTAAGGCCTACTGTTGGTAGCTCCTTTAGAGGTATTCACTACTCTAGCTAACTCCRTAGTTGTAAGTTGAGAGCTGAGGCAAGCAATCAACATATCCAAGAACAGATGGACATAATTTAAAAGTCAGAAGCTCTCTAAGCCTCGCTGACCCTTATTGTTTCTTAGATAAGTTGCAAGCAGTCAAAMCCCATGAAATCTGAGGATTTCTGTACCCTAGAAAATAATCATTTTATATATCCAGCTGCAGAAAAATGTAAGGATAAGTTAAAGGGACTTATTTCTGAGTTTGAGATACTATTTGGCTCTAGTACTGCAATGCTTCTGCTCACAGAACTTGGACCTCCTTAATTAATAATTAGAACTCTGGGGAATCTTGGTGATTGTGATCTTCCTGTTAGAATAAGTAGAAAACATCAAGAATTTTTTTTCCAGTCTTCTCCTGATTTAAGAAACATGTCTACATTAGAAAAGACCCCCCCGCCCCCGCACCCAGCAAACAGTGGTCAACTCCAGGATAACAATTATTTTCATGCCTTTGTTATGTTGCAAGGGTTGGTTCTTAGAATGCACCAAGAATTTTAAATTCCTCTGTGGGAATATTTCTTCCTGACCCTAGGGACATCCAGGCAGAGTCTCAGCACTACTATAATCATTCTTAGATAGTAAAAAGGTCACCTGTTCACTTTTAGACATAAAAAGTAACTTCAGTTAGTTCTTGTACAATAACAAATAACTTACATCTTCCGTTAAGCCCTCTCTGTTATCCCTACTTGGTCACACTGAAGAGGCCTCCTGTACAGGGAGGAAAAACATGATTTTTTCCTCTCAGTTCCATGAATCTCACTTCTCTTCTCCCTCCCCAATCCTCCAGGGATGAGGCAGAAGAAATAAGGGCAGAAATGACCTTCTTTGGCCAATACCATGGTAGCCATCTCATCCACTAGCTTAACCTGTGCTTGAAGCTCTTGAGAGAGCACTTTTGGGAGGCATGCTAATGAACTCTTCAGAGTTCTTACCAACATTATTAGAATTTCCTTTCTTAAAATTCCCTTGATACCAGGTGCAATGGCATATTCCTATAATTACAGAGACTTGTGAGGCTAAGACAGGAGGATTGCAAGTTTGAGGCCAGCCTTAGCAACCAATGGAGGTCCTCAGAAACTTAGACCCAGTCTCAAATGAAATAAAATAAAATAAAATAAAATAAAAAGGGCTGGGAATATAATTTAATAGTAAAGTAGCCTTCTTTAGTACTCAAAACACCAAAACCAAAACCAAGAAATTCCCTGAGGAGGGTAAATGCACTTCCTTCAGATGGCCATTTGGGATTTCTGCCTCAATCTCTGGATATCCATCACTGCAAATTCAAGTTCTTTCCTGTGGTAAGTTTTTTGCACCCTTGAGCCTCACTCCTTCCATGGCTCTACTAAGCAGGACACCACATATTCTGTACTGGCTCTCTAATCTCTGGCCACAGGTAATGTCCTTTGTCCTATCTGTGATGCACAAGTGGATTCCAGTGCTGTAATATCTTTTTGCTGTGCCCCAGGGTATCAGGCAGCCACAGAGTTTTCTTCTCTTGAAGATTTTTCAGGTATATTAGATCCCAGTTTTCTAACTACTGCAACCACTGCTGCCATATCCCAGAAGATGCATATCAAACTTTCTGGGGTGTTCCATTAAAGTGTCCTTCCCCTGTACTTTAGATAAGGGAAAAGTCCCCTTTCACCTTGGAAGTATGTGTGAATCCCATCACATCCCAACTTTCTTCTCAAATCCTCTTCTGATTATCAGTAACCTCTTTGCCTTTCCTCCTTTTTTTTTTTTTTTTTTTTTTTGATGGACCAGATTTGGAGCCCTAAAAGTAGTTGACAGTGCTCTCCTTTGCAAATCTGGCTTAAGCAATTTTATACCTAATTTTGTAAGATGAACAAGCAATCTTTTTTTTTTTTTCATCTTCTTAAGATCTCAGCTAAAATTGCAACAAAAAGAATCCACCTTTTAACATCTTAATAAATTCACATATCCATTGTTACTATCCTTTATGAAATTATTGTAAGTATATATTGAGTGATATGTAGCAAAAAACTTTAAAACACAATAGGAGACCCCATGGTGCTTCTACTTTAACAGGAGAGATCAAACAGGTTGCAAAGAACAGTCAGATTTACCAAATCTCTAAGCTAGCTGTGGGACCTCAATCAAGTTACTTTATCACTCTGGGCCTTGATGTCATCATCTGTAATATGGAAATAAAAGAGTATCTCTCTTATGGGACTGTTATGAGTACTGCCAGAGTTAGTATTTATAAAGTGTTCAGAATTCTACATACATGACCAATTGTTAGCAAACTCAAGAGTGGAAATAGGTAGAGAAATTTTAATAGTTGTTTAAACTTTTGTTAGATTGTTTCTCTCAGACCTACTTTTATTTCTCATCATATTTTTTATTATTCTTACTTTTAAATAGATGTTATTTTAAGTTATTTCAGGTTTTATTTTTAACATTTCAGATGATTTTCTTATGTTAGCAAAATTCACATTTCCTCATTTTCAATAAATTGCCCAATGTAATATATGTGTATGTGTATGTGTATATATATATATATATATATATATATATTTTTTTTTTTTTTTTTTTGCTAGTGCTGGGAATTGAACCCAGGGCCTTGTGCATAGGTATCTATATTTTAACACACATTAAAAAACAACTTTTAGGATATCTGCAGTGAGAAGATAATGAGCAATGTCACAAATAACATCTTCAATACTTCCTTTCAGTCAATGCAGCTTTATACAGGACTTTTTATAAGACTTCCCAGGGCAAGCTGAAGTCATCCTCCCGCTGCCTCCTTCAATGATGAGAATCTAGCAAAGAGCAGAGAGAATGTGGTCCAAACCTTCAGGCTTCTAATATTCTGACTTAAAATTTCTACAGGAAAGAATGGGCTGTGTGGCTCTTAAACCCCTCTCCCCCCATGTGGTTTCTCCCATCTGGGGTTGGATGAAAGGTGAGCGGTGGACAGTTTGAAGTTATGTCCTCTGACAAGGGCCTGCAGCACAGGTATTTCCTGCTACTGATGAAGGGCAAGCCCACATGCTTTAAAAGTCAACTGAGCTCACGGTGGACTTGACAGCCCTGCTGTTAGAGAATGCTCCTCAGAGGCAGAGGACGTGAGCACACGTTTCTTTGCCACCTTGTGTTATGAAATCCCAAAGTTAACAACCACAACTTTATACTTTGAAAGATTCTCCATGTTACTTTGCTTAACACAGAGAGCAAGTTAACTTTGGATAACTGTATCATAGCTTCATCTCAGCTTAGATATCATTGAAAAATGAGAAAACAGAATTTTGGTACTTCCACATCTCTGTTAAGTCATGAGACCTTGTGGGAGTCAATGTGATAATTTCATCTGTAAACTAAAAAAATTGAGTCCATTTGAGGCTGTGAGCCTTGGTTTTGTGAATAATGACTAAAAAGTTCACTCATTAAAGGCCTGTCTTTGTGCCCCTACCCTTTAGAATGATTTTGTACATTGTGAGCATTTGTCATTTGACTCTAAACAGATTTCATTGCTGCAATGCCACTAGTTACTAAAACGGAGGGTTTCTTTCCAGTCTCGCTTTTCTTGTGAAATGAGGAGTGTGGATTAAAGGAGTTCTATTAAAGGACAAGAAAGGAGGTGGCTTCATGCAACAGCTGTATATTTCTCTCTGGAAACCTCTGGGAAAAAAGCAGCTCAATTCCCTTGAAAGTGTGTCTTTGGGAATATCAATTATCCCTGAAAGAGATGTCTCACATTTACCAAAATGTCAAGATCTTTCTTATATTATGAGGTGTTTTTCAGATGTAAAATCAGAGGAAAGCAGCTGTTGTCCAAAGAATATCTTTGAACAATCCCTTGTATGTAATTCTTCTTAAATGCCGATTATTCAGTTCAACTGAATACACCTCTTTGTTTCCTTTCTTCTTCCCTTCCAGCACCAAGGAAAAATTGGAGTTAAGTTTAATGTCGGGACAGATGACATCGCTATTGAAGAGTCCAATGCAATCATTAATGATGGGAAGTACCATGTGGTCCGTTTCACGAGGAGTGGTGGCAATGCCACGTTACAGGTGGACAGCTGGCCAGTGATCGAGCGCTACCCAGCAGGTAAGCAAGTGAATATGTATCTGGGGAAGATTTTATGGAGGAAAAAAAAAACAAAACTGGAAAACAAAGCACTGTTTTGCGTCCGTTTCACCAAATTGTGGTTTTCAGAAAAACCATCAAGTATTTATTGGACTTTAGAATCGTGAATGTAATGCTGTCCTAAACTGTTCTTGTTACAGTGTACAAATGACATTTTATAGGCGAACTTGAAGGCACACGTTAGCATTTGCAAAATTCAGGACATCAGTGAAAACCAGAAAAATGCACACATAAAAATACACAACATGTCAAAGCTCTTTTTACTGGATCCTTGCATTTGAACAAAGAAAAGGCTTTGTCAAAAGTAACAAAGTTAAAATTTAAAACCAAGGGAGGGAATAGGATAACATTTGCTTTCTGAGAGAAAGTGAAGCTGGACTGCTGCTTTGATGATGGTGCACAGCAGAAACCCGGGAGAGGTGTGAGGAGAGCAGGGCATGAGCAGAGGWGGAAGGGGCAGCAGACATCACAGCTAGAAAAGCAAAAGGAGCCTTTCAGCTTCCTAGAACCGTGCAGTTTCAGGAGAATTCTGTGATGCTCATATCACTCATTTTAGGTGTGTAAACTGAATCTCAAGGCATTATTAATAAAATAAAAATTAACTTGTTCATGCCAAAGAGTTTTGTCAGTACTGTTATTACACAAAGGTGGTAGGTTAGAAATCTAATAAACCAGTGCTACTTGCAGTTGTGTATGTTCTCCATTAAAAAAACAGATATGTTATTTTCAAGTAAAATACAAATTTAAAGTGCCAAGGTATTTTCTGTCATTATATTTTGGTACAAAATTGCTTCCTCAAAGAATCAGTCTCATTTGTCTCTATTCCCCTTTTTAGACAGGCTAATTTTTGTTGTTGCTGCTGCACAGCATACAATTTATAACCCAGTATAAAGTACAAAGTGAAAATTCATTCTTCACAATACAAATGATACCCAAAATATACATATAACTAACTCCTCTATTAGAATTATTTGTTTCAATGGAAGAAATACTTTGATGAAATACAGATTTGTTCATAAATATCAATTTTCCCTAGGACTGACTCACAGTTATGGAATGAAATGCCCCTTCTGCTTTTTCTAGACCTTTCCTAATTTGTATAATTCTACATCTTCAAGTTCCATTTCCAACCTATTCTATATGATGAGTGCTTTGCAAATATTTGCTGAATTAGATGTAATTAAAACCTGCTCCGTGACAATATTCCAAAGCAAGCAAATTAATAATATGTCCAGTGCCTTTTATAATACTAGTGAATAGTAGGCGATCAATAAAATGTTTGCCAAATTGGTATCCTGGGGAATTATCACAATTTTACACTACAAGTATATGAATAGTCCTCTGTTACCATCTACAATAAGATGAAGGAATGGAACATCTGAAAGCAAAGTAATTTAAATATGTGTTCAATGCTTCAGAGCCCCTGATATTCATCTCCAGTGCATTCACTGAAGACCAACTATAAATGTACTTGACAAACAAATAAAYTTCAACTGCAGTGGAATTATAGAAAAGGAAGTTGGTAATCTTCCTAAGGTAGGGAATAACCAATTCCTATGTTCTGATAGGAAGTTATTGTCCTGGATGCCAGGAAAACATAAAGCAGGGTAAGGTCTAGGCTCTGCCATGGGATATGGTCATCTCTAAAGGTTGACCTGAGCATGTACAATGGTAATTCCCATTACTCTTACTCTGTGGCTGTTTCCTCTTGAGGGATAGCTTTGTTTCAATAATTAGTTGTTTAAAATTATCTTTATTTAGTAACATTTTGCTCTTATCAGCACTTCCCATGTTGTTATCTTGAAGAACTCCTTTCTGGTTGTTATTAATACTTACCTACAAAGGAAAGGAAGAAGTCATGTTCAAATTAAATTGGGAAATTATGGGTTAAAGTAAGGTAAAAATTTCCATTCTTGGATCTTATTCTGTTAATATGCGGAGTGCATCTCTAAAAGACAAAAATAGCATGTCCTTTTGCAAGCATGGGTCATCCAAATCTAGTTTTCTAATTCATCAATGTATTTTGGTAGAAACTTCATTTTTTAAAAAAATCTCTATAACTCACAATTTTACCATATTGTATGTGATTAAGAAGCTTGTAATTGTATGTACCAGAAACCATGATCTGGGCATAGTTGCCAAAAGATATATTCCCTATCTTCATGTGTCAGGCTAATGTCCATGTTGAATACTGGTACCTGTATTGGGGCAGTGTTAATTAATTCTTTGAAGAAATATTTATATTTTTAGATTAATATTTAATACATACAATTTCTCATTTGCCAATTAAATAGAATAAGAAACACAACATGAAATTTATTTAGATATTAGAAGCTGGAGGTACCATAATAATTAAGGAGCAAAACTTTAGAAACAGTTATTTTAGATCCAATGTTTTATATTTAGTCCAAGATCTAAGTATTCTTCCCCCCATGTAGTATTTGAAGTAATATTAATCAATCCAGAGTGAGCCAAGCTGCAGTTATTCTGAAGGGTGCAAGCAAAAAAACAAACTTGGCATCTGCCCACAAGAGAATTAGAACACGTGTGAGAAATTTCTTTACACAGAAATTAATGATCAATATGTAAAGAACTCAGAGGAGCCACTGTTGTTGTCACCAAGTTTATCATTATTATTATTATCATCAATCATCTGCTTTGTATTCATTACAGCATGGTGTTGTAGTAGGAAATAAACAATAAAAATTCCAAATATTATTTCTTTTGGAGCTTAATCTATCTGCAATAATGCCATAAAGGCTGAATACACTTGGATTTTTTGTTGTTGTTGTTGTTACTGGGAATTAAACTCAGGTCTACTTTACCACTGAGCTCCATCCTCAGCACTTTTTAATTTAATTTTTTTGTTTGTTTGTTTGTTTGTTTCGAGATAGGCTCTCATTAAGTTGCTGAGRGCTTTGCTAAGTTGTTGAGGCTGGCCAAACTTACAGTTCTCCTGCTTTAGCCTTCTTCATCACTGGGATTATAGGCATAGACCACTACACCCAAGTTCTGAATAAAAATTTAAAGTGTTACTAGATTAAAGTTTTTGGAACGAAGTGCTTTTAAATACGAGTTTAATAGCAAGATGTAATATATATCTTTTGTATTAGTTTGTGGTATGGCTATTTTTATTTAAAAAAKTTTTGAGTTATTATTCATTAGAAAAGTAACTGGACTAATGCTTTTACCACCAAGTCCTATAATCAAAGAAGCAGGAACCAACAGACTATATTTGGTTCCTTTTAAAGTGCCTGCACTGCAAAATATAGGTAATAAGKTTGAAATTAGTAATTAAGTACAGCACTTAACCTTCCATTATAGGGCTTTGTGGTAAGTGCTTTTCTATGAAGCAATTCATCTGGTAGTGACACTATACCTTTAATGAAAAGCACCTAAAGCATTGACCAGTAGTATTACCCTATAATTGTCTGGAAGGCTTTCATAAAGAAACTAATTAGTAGAGGTAGATTTTATGCTCTTTTAGAGAATATGAAATATTCCTATAACCTAATAATTCACATTTTAGAATAAATATTGAACTTTCTGAATAGCATACCCAGTTTCCATTATTTTCTGTACATGGAACAAAGTACAGAAATAATATTTTGCAAACCATTTAAAGTTGGGAAAGCCACTTCTTGGCATATGTCAATTAAAGCTCTAGAATACAATGCATCATTAATCTCTGATTTGTCCTTAATTACAGTCATGTAGCAAAATTTTCTTTCTCAACAAAAAATAGACCTCCTTTTCTCATTACRTATGTTCCACAAAGCCTAATATTATCTTGCTTCTTCTGACTTGAGATTACTCCAAATAAATCATACTCACCTTTGAAAATAAAACTGAAGTCACCTGCCTACTACGATGTTCCAAAGATGTCCTTTCTATCTAAGTAAGATTGAATATTCAATTTATTCCTAAGTTAAAACATCAAACTAGCAAGAATTTGCTGGATCCATACTAGGCAAAAGGAACATACTAGTCTTACAGTCTTGTCATAGAGAGAATTTTTAAGTGTTTAATATTAAAAATAGAATTCATGGGAAAATAATTTGGCCAAAAATAAGCTATGGAAAAAAAAAGTCAACAACAAGAGATTTCAAAGAAGGAAGACATCTTGAAGTAAGTGGTGTAGTAAGACTGCGGAAAAAAAAAATAGTGGACTTTACTTGAGTCTTTTGAAGAGTGCATTCATTTAGGTGGGGTTAGCAGAAAAAGAGAAAATATGTAGGGAATTATGAAATAGTCTATATGTCAAAAGAAAAAGRACCCAGGGAGTATAGAAAAAAATAAAGAAGAATGCAGAATACATTATAAGACCTGGTGAACAACTAAATAAACAAAGACATTCCCTCTGTTTAGTTTCTCTTTTTCCTTCTCTCTTTCCTTTTCTCTCTCCCCCTTAATCTCTTTCTCCTCTCTCCCTGCTCTCTCACTATTAATTATTCAGTTCTTCACTTTGTCACCAGAAGGCACTAGACACTAATGAACTTGAAACCTGTGATAGGAACAGATAGAGAAACCAAAGGCCTGGTTCTTGATTGCTAAAAGATTTGTCTGGTTGGGAGACAAAAAGGATTAAGAACACCTACCAAACTCAAGTGAACTGTGTTAACTGTCAAAATTTCCAGTTCAGTGTTTATTGCTATTAGAGATTAAAGAAAGAAGCCAATGGTATCTGAAGTGGTGTGACAAAGTAGATCAGTTAGGGATGAGAGGATTTGAAGAAAGGAATCGCCCCCAGGGAAGATTTCATAGAGATGCTCYAAGTATTTTGTGCATGATCATGCGATTTGGCTGAAAGGTTTTGTGAGCATTGGCTCTAAATCTTATCTATTTCATCAGTGAAAACTAGTACAATATTTCAGAGACYAAGAAAGCCATATGGATTATTGCCCTTTTAATTCTACACATTTAGCATAGATTTATTATTTTTAATTGAATTCATGAACAAT